GCGGGGCTCGATCCCAGGACCCTGGGATCATGACCTGAGCCGAAGGCAGACGCTTAACCGACTGAGTCACCCAGGCACCCCAAGTTCTTTTCTTTTTTGTCCTCTCATTAAACATCAGAGGTAGACGAAGAAGAATCCGTAAACATTAGTCAGGGCTTCTTTTGCAAGTTCAAAAGCTGGCATTTCCAGGAAACAGCTATTATAAGAAAGTGAGGCATTTCATGCACGTTGGAATAACTAGAGCAGCGTTGCAGGACTTGAATTATGATTTAATCTGTAACTGGAACAAGACCGAGTCCGTCACGTTTACTGCCGTGCTCGGCTCCTGGTGCAGTGAATTTCTGTTTGCTCAGTGAGCCCAGGTTAATGGCACCATGCACGATGTGCAAAGCCTGAGTGACACCCGGTGTCGGCAGGGTCACCGGCGCGGGGGCGTGGCTGGCAGTCGAACTCCATTATTGGTATTTCCGAGCATTTGGAGCCACTTTAGAGTGGTCTCATGTTTCTGTCCCTCTTGTGTCCACCGGCCATCCAAGCAGTGAGCTGGAACGGGCTGTGCAGTAGGACTGTCTGGGATGCGTTTTCATAGTACATGTGCTGGAGTCCGAGGTCTGTGGCCTCAGACTTCAGACCGTCTGGGGGCGGGGCAGGGGAAGGGGGGGAGGGGAGGGGAGTGATTCCAGTGTCTGTGTGCGGAGACACTCTTCCCAGGTGATTGCAGCACATGCCCTGCATGGCCACGTCTGTCCAGCGGGCTGAGGTCCAGTGGAAGGAATCGTGGGCTCAGGACTGGAAGATAGGTTTTCACCCCAGCTCTCCTGTTTTTAGCTGGGTGACCCGACACACATCCTCCAAGCCCCAGTGTCCTCATTTGTGAGAAGAGTGGAGTAAGATAATGTGTGTAAAAGTCGTAGTGAAGTGCTACTATCCGGAGGCTGGCACGACCAGAGTGTTTGGCCATGGCGTCACAGACATTTGCCTCTTGCCAAGTGGAGTCTTGGGCCTTGATGAGATAACTATGTGCTACCCGTGAGGTATGTGGGTACAGGACCCTGGGAAGGCACACACACGCATGCAGATTTAGCATCGTGAGAGGTGCTCACAAAACAGTTTCTTCAAGTGTGCTCCCTGTGATGTCAGCATCACCTGGAAAACTTGTTAGAAATGTAGTTTCTCAGGCCTCACATCAGACCTACCAAGTCCGAAACTCCAGTGGGGCTCAGCTGTGCATGTTTTAAACAGCCTTTCCCATTAAAATTTGATATCAGGGTAATACTGCCTCAGAATAAGTTAGGAAGTGATCTCTCTTTTTCAGTTTCTGGAAGACTTTGAGAAGGATTGGTGTTAATTCCTCTTTAAATGTTTGGAAGAATTCACCAATGAAACCGTCTATCTGGTCCTGGGCTTTTTATTGTTGGAAGGGTTTCGATTACTGATTCAATCTCCTTACTAGTTAGTTAGAGGTCTTTTCAGATTTCCTCTTTCTTCATGAGTCAGTTTTGGTGGTTTGTGTGTTTCTGGGAATGTCATCTAGGTTATTCAGGTTGTTGGTGTATGGTAATTTGTAGCTTTTATAATTTTTATTTCTGTAGAATTGGTAGTATTGTCACTACTTAAATTTCTGATTTTCGTAATTTGAGTTTTTTTTTTTGTCAAGCTAAAAGTTTGTCAATTTTGTTGTCAATCTTCCCTTGGTTTTTTTGATTTTTTTTTATATTGTTTTTCTATTCTCTTTTAATCTCTGCTCTGATCTTTGTGATTTCCTTGATCTTAATTAGCTTTCAGATTAGTTTGTTCTTTGTCTAGTTCCTTACGGTGTAAAGTTTGATTGTTAATTTGGGACCTTTCTTTTTTTTTTCATTGTAAGTGTGTATGGCTATAAATTTCTCTCTGAGTACTACATTTGCTGCATCCCATAGGTTTTGTTATGTCGTGTGCGCGTTTGCATTTACATTTGGCACAGGGTATTTTCTCATTTCTCTTGTGATTTCTTCTTTGACTTTGAGGGTGTTCTTTCATTCCCATATGTTTGTGAACTTTTCAGTTTTTCCTTCTGCTGTTGATTTCTAGCTTCACTCCTTGTGATCAGTAAAGATAGTTTGTGTGATTTTAAAATTTATTTTGACTTATTTTGGGGCCTAACATAAGGTCTGTCCTGGAGACTGTTTCATGTGCATGGAGAAAAATGTGCATTCTGCTTTTTTTGGGTGGCGTGTTCTGCATATGTCTGTGAGGTCTGGTTGGTCTTCAGTGTGGTGCAAGTCATATTTCCTGATGCATCATCTTCTGTCTGGTGGTTTTTCTGTTATAGAATGTGGACTGTTGAAGTCTCCTACTGTTACTGCAGAGCTGACTATTGTTTCCTTCAGTTCTGTTAATATTTGCTTCATATATTATGGAGCTCTGATGTTTGGTGCATATATGCTTGTAACTGTTCTATATTCTTGGTGAATTGACCTTCTATCATTATATAATGTTATTCTTTGTGTCTTGTGACAGTTTTTGATTTAAGGTCTATTTTGTCTGATATTAGCATAGCACCCCTGCTCTCTTTTGGTTACTGTTTGTATCGAATATCTTTTTTAATCCTTTCAATCTATGTGTGTCCTTAAATCTACAGTGAATCTCTTGGAGGGATGCCTGGCTGGCTCAGGTGGTGAAGCATGTGACTCTTGATCTTGGGGTTGTAGGTTCGAGCCCCACATTGGGTGTAGAGATTTTAAACAAACAAACAAACAAACAAACAAACAAAAATAAATTGAGTCTCTTGGAGGTATATAGTTGGATCCCATGCCAAAGTTTGAAAACCACTGTTACGAAGTGCTAAGATCAATTCATTAACTAACATGTCAGAAATTATGTGGCAAAGCACATTATCCTTCAAGGGAGTCACCTTGGGAATGTAGCTACTTCTAATGTTGGTGCTGTTTCTCACAAAACATTTGGGTTCCCCTTTTGGGATAGATTTGAGAGCCAGGTTGAGGCACAGGAAAGAATCAGTTTTATTATTAGTAATTTATTATCATACATAGTCTTAGGAATGTTCCAGATGACTTTTTACTTATTTTCAGAAATAAAAGCCACCTTCCAAAGTTTGCCACCATTGGGAGTATTTAAAAGGTCGTGCTGTAGGTTTTCATATATTATAGGAGAAGGAGAAATACTGAAAGGTTTAAAGAAATTCAGTGGGTGAAGATGGTAGGCATCCTTAGCACTTACGGAGCAGGGATTCTGGCTTTAGGTGAGTAGTCAGTGAACTTTTAAAATTGTAAACCTTATATTACTTTATTCCTTAAAACCTCAAAGCTTTCCTTTATTCTTCAGAGTAAAAGCCTGATTTCCTACTGTTTCCTACAAGGCCCTGCTTGATCTATCCTTCTCCAGCCTTCCTCTCTGAAGGCAGGACCTGCCTCTGCCCTCTCCTACTCTGCTGTAGGCTCCCTGCCTGGCTATTCCCTTATAACTCTACCCCCACGCCCCCCACCCCAGCATGTTCCTGCCCCAGGGCCTTTGCACTTACTGTTTTTCCAGCCTGAATTGTTCTCCCACATATTTCATACTTTCACTCTCTTTCCTTTCTGATCTCTGCTCAAACATCCCTTTATTGGCCTGGTTTTACTAACCACTTTATATACAATGGTGACTTTTTCCCTTCTTATTCCACTTGATATTTGACCATTGTATTTATCACCACCTGCCTTTGTATATTTACTTGCTTGTTTTTTGCCCCTATTTCCCATGAGGGCAGGGTTTTGTCAGTTTTCGTTCATTGTTTTATCCTCATTGTCTAGAACAGGGCCTGGCAGTTAGAAGTATTGGATAGATATTTGCCAAATGAGAAAATGAATGACCATTTAGTATGGTGATTGTATATCTTACATTTCCCAGGATGTATCTGTTGGCAGATATTCTGGCTTATTGTCAAGTCATGAGGTCACTGTATTTGGAATGAAGAATGTGATCATGTACGTCTGTATTGTAGGATCATTCCAAGTCTGAGATTCTATAATTCCCCATAAACCACAAGGCTTGGCACTCGGTAGGTGCTCCCTAGTGGTCTGTGGACGAATTGAATGAAGACCTCCGATGGCTTTTCAGTGGAGCCTCTTTCTGCCCCTGACCTGTTGTTTTACAGACCATGGTTAACGATTTCAGACCCTGCGTTTCTGCAGGGACTGTGATTCACCACAGTTATTTCCAGAACAGAAACTCTCTTTGGGTGTAATGGTCAAAGCTTGGAGCTAACTTGGTTTTAGTTAGATGTAATTCATTGAATTTCCTTGGTTAATAACTAACCACTACAATGAAGAAGTAATTCAGCGAATGCCTGTTGCATCTGGGAAAGGGAATGGAATGGTTTAAATTCTGTCAAGATGAATGTGGACTTTTGGTGATCTTTGTGATCAGGATTTGACCCTGAAGCATGGCTGGCGGACTGGTGCAATTATCCCGGAGCTGAGATCCGAGCTCAGGATCATGAACACGGAGCAGTACATTCAAACCATGACCTGGCTGCAGACCCTGACCGGGTTATTGGAACAGATGCAGGTTTGCGATTTTTTTCTCTCCTCCTTTTTCTCTAAGTCTGAAGTTAGTCTGCTAATCAAAGTTATTACACATATTTTCTTTTTAATTGTGGTTATGAAGCATGAAGCATAAGGCATCCTGCAGAATAACTCCTGGGGTTATTTTGCCCCTGAGTTTCGCCAGTTTCCCTGAAGAGAAGTTTGAAAGTGCCCGCAGATTCATTTAGAGGAAGAGCTTTGCAGGGCCGTGTAAGCTCAGGGGTCTGTGTAGATTCCTTGGTCAGTGGAAATCCCATGTCCCCATTGAAGCTCTGTTGGGAGACGTCCTGTGGGGTAGTGGGATTCAAGAACCTCTGCTGATATGTGGGGCTAGTCCTGCCTCTGCCTTGGGCCTGCTGTGGGACTTCTCCGTTCTGGGCCTCAGTTTCCCCACTGTAAAATGAAGGGTCCCGTGGAATGAATACCTCAGGCTAGGCGTCCAGCTTACTGGAGAGGGTCTCAAAGCAAAAGTCAGTAGCTCTGCGTGCAGCCTCCACTTGATTTTGAACATAATATCTACAATTTGCTGGCTCACTGGGGTTCAGGGGCAGCTTTTTTCTTTGTGTTAAGTTATGTCGCCAGTTTTGGACAGTTAGTGAGGAATGTTGTTTTTGGCGATTTTCCAACCCGAGAAAGCTGCCCCTCTCTTGTCGCTGTGGCCCACTCCCAGTTCTCCTGAGACACCTTGCTTCCCGCTTGGTTCAGCTGACCTGGCCTGTGGCTGTCTGAGGATAAGGAGCATGCTGCCCACTCTCTTGGCTAACACACCTGTAGCTTCTGGCCCACAGCCCGCCAGTCTGCTTTGGGAATGGGCAGGGGCCTGCCTCACCTGGTCCAGCTGGCGGCCCTCGTGGAAGCCGCTGTCAGTGAGCTCAGGCAGAGCTGTGGGGAGTGGCCGCCCAGGCCCTTGCTCCGGGGCCCACACATTCCAGAGCATGGGACCTCGCACGTCCCCCAGGCCTCGCTTCCAGTGTGCTCTGCCCACCCTGGTTCGTGGCTGGTCTGTGATGAGGATTTGTGACGTTTCCCTTACTATGCTTGTGTGGGAGGATTTTTTCTAAAAATACAAGGCATCACTTCTGGGTTACTGTAGCTTCAAGTCTGTACATAGGTCAGACAATAATAGTAGTTACTTTTCCCATGCCAGACATCGTGCCAAGTGCCTGTTCTGCACACATGAGTCATGAATAGTCCCGGCTGTCCTTTGCAGGCAGGTACAGTTTTTGCCACTTTCGAATAAGGAGACTGGGTGTTTGAGAAGTCAGGCAACATGTCTGAGGTCGTAAAATGCCAAAGCAAGAACTTGAACTTAAGGCTTGTGTGATGTCCAAGTCCACTCTAGAGTTTTAACTTCCACACTGTCACCTCGGGCTCTAAAAAATTAAATGAAACCCAGCCCAGTGTCATTTGGAGCCAAGTCTGATGAATTAAATGTAAGTATATAATTTTTGCTTTGAGAAAGTAGCTGTAAAGAATAAAGATAGTTTTGTTAACTAGCCTCGAAGTGCAGTCCAGTATGGTGTGGTTGATGGTGGTAGAGAGTCTTCCCGGGTTATGTCACAACCACATTTAGCTCAGGGGTTGGCCATTTTCTGCCAAGGGCCAGGTCAGTCAACATGTCGTGTTGTGTGGGCCAAGCCATCTGTCACTGCTACTCAGCTGTGCTTGCAGCCCAGAAGCAGCCCTGGACAATGTGGACAATGCGGAAACGACCGGGCGTAGTTGTGTCCTGTGGTTTTATTGGTGGACCCTGAAATATGAATTTTGTACCATTTTCGTGTGTCATAAAATTGTTCTTCTTTTGATTCCCCACACCTCCTAACCATTTAGAAAGGAACTTATTCTTCAGCTCGGAAGCCGATGGGAAAAATGGGTGGTGGGCTGGACGTGGCCTCCCTGGTAGAGGCTGGGGGGCTGGCTGGATTGCAGGCCCCACTCACACTGGGCAGGAGGACTGGTGCCGCAGACGGAGTGTGATCTATATTTTTGCTCCTGTGGAGCTGATTATGCTAATTAGTGATGGGGCCAAAGATGGCATCAGCTTCTGGGGTGGGCTTCTGGTGAGTCTTTTCTGATGTTAACTACCCACCCTAGAGTGTGTGGTTTCACTTAAAGATTAGTTATCACTAATGAGCACACCCTTCTTCTGAAGTAGTTTAAAGTAAATTTCAGATACCTGAGACTTGTTTAAAAGTTTGGCCTTGTAGGAGGAGCAGAGCTGGAGAAAGAAGTGCGTCAAGGAGAAAATAGCCTTTTTTTTAAAAAAAGATTTTATTTATTTGAGAGGGAGAGAGTGAGAAAGAGCATGAGAGGGGAGAGGGTCAGAGGGTGAAGCAGACACCTGGCTGAGTGGGGAGCTGGATGTGGGACTCGATTCTGGGACTCCGGGATCATGACCTGAGCTGAAGACAGTCGCTCAACCAACTGAGCCACCCAGGTGCCCCCCCACTTTTTCTTTTAAATGGGAGAGACTTGAGCATGTGCAAATGCTGATGGGGGGGTGCCAGGTGAGGAGGCTGAGCTTATGGCAGTGATGGTAAACGGTGGAGACAGGTTCCCGGGAGGGCAGAGTGGGGCACGTGATGTCTGCTCCATCTCTAGAAGAGATGAACTGGGAGACCCACCAAGATGGCCCTTCAGGTCTGCAGAGCCTGCCCTGGGGTGGGGGCCCCCCTGCAGGGCAGGGTGGAGAGGAGAATTCACATGCCGTGCGGCTGCAAGTTTCAGAAGGAGAGCGCGGGTAGATTCACTTTGGTAATTCTTATGCCCGTCCCCAGAGAATTCTCCCGTGCTGCATTTATGGGCAGAGTAAGGAGGCAGGCATCTCTGCCTCCTGCTTAGACAAGGATGGAGGTGCCCAGCTCGTGGGCTGAGAAGGGTGTGTGGGCAGAGGTGGGGGGTTCCCGCTCACAGACTGACTCCTCACTCTCTGTGGTGCCACGTTGTTTTGTCACGGTCTGTTTGCCTAGGCATACCCCGCATAGGGGCCTCTGTCTTGTCCTCTCTTGTATCTTCAACATCAAGCACAATGCTGGGGATATAGTGGGTGTGCAATACAGATGTGTATGTACGTGTTTGTGTGTGTGCGTGTGTATAGAAATTTGTGGCTCCCTACACATTTTGCCTCTTCTGATCTAGTCACGTATTTTGTAGAGCCTCAGTTCTGTAGTAACTTCTTGATTGAAATGTGAAAATGAATTAAAACCGTGTTCACAGAACCTCTGTCAGCACCCCCAGAAGCCCTGGCGCAGTCTTCCGGTGCTCCCAGCAACACCCAGCCAGTGGTCGTCCAGTGGCAACAGCTTCCCGCTCGTGCGGGCAGCGGTGCTGGGCCGGACATGCAGGTTACAAGCTCAGTCCACATGGCTCTCGTGTGAGTGGTAGAGGTTCTAGCAGGTGACTGCCAGTCAAGCTGTTGAGCTGGGCGGAGGCAGTAACCTTGGCTCCCACGTGGGAAGCAGATGGTTTGCTTGTTTGCTGTTTTCCTCGGGGCTCTAAGGCTCCCCCGTGAGCATGAATTGCAGGGAGCCCCACCTGTCCCCGCAATCCCCTGCACCCTCGACCCTGGCGGGGGTGTTTCTCTTCAGCCACGAGAGTCTTACGAGATTTCTGTTGTTAGGTTGTGGGCAGTTGTCCTTTTTCTTCTTGCCTTTTGCTCACATCTCAGCCCAACTGGAAAATTCTCTGCTTTTCCATCTGGTTGAGGTGCTCTACCTTCTTGTCTTTCACAAAACAATTATTTATTTTCTCTTGAACACTTTAGAAAGGATAATATAACATCAAGGGAAAACATTAAAACCATTTATAATCCTACTTCCCTTGCACAAATTAAAGAAAAATTTCCACGTTCATTGCCAAATATATGCACGTATTTTGGCATGCTTGCAATTAGAGATGTAGTGTTACACCTGCTCGCTCCACTTACCTGCCATTTTTATGATTATACTTAACCTGTGATATGTGTAATAGGTGCGTAGTAAGTGTGTGTTTATATATGTGGTGCCCATGTGTAATGGACACGCTGCACACATATATTATACACACATATTTTATGTGGATATATATGCATTGTGTTTATACATAGTCTTTACTAATACTGTCATAGCTCCAATTTAATAGGGGCCTTGTTTAATAGGTTCATAATGTTCCATCACCATTTGTTAAACCACGTTTCTAGTATTGGACATTCAAAAACTTTTGATGAAGAAGGCAGGACTGCAGCCAGGAATCTGAAAATGTGTTATTTCATGCAAGCGCCTGTGTCTTCGACCTCAAGGAATGAAATTCTTCCGAGAAGAGCTGCCCGTTAAAAAATTCTTATAACCTCATGAGCTTCTTTGCAGCTCGAGCAACCTGTGATTAGCTTGTGTCCTGCAGGTTCACAGAGATGCCGAGTCACAGCTGGTTTTGCAGGAGTGGAAAAAGGAAAGAAAGGAGATGAGGTAAGAGGGGCCCATTTTGAGTGCGGCGAGCCCGCCACCCTGTCTGCGCCCCGCCCAGCCCGCGCGCTGTACCCAGCGCTCGCCCGAGGCAGCCCTCCTGTGTTAAGCTGCCAGGTGTGAATGGGACCACGGCTGTCGTAGCCACAACTAGGCATGGCTGCCACTAGCGGGGGGGACATGTGTGACATTTCCTTGAGGCAGCAGTGACCTTTCTCAAACCTCCTGCCCTTGCCTTTGAACGCCAGGGTGGAAGGAGCTGTCCCTTCCCATCCTCTTCCCTGCCCACTTGACTTGCCCATCTGCACAGCCAGTGGGCCAGTTGTAGGTCATGCCGGCAGCCCAGTGTGGCTCCTGGGATGGTGTGGGGTGTGGGCTCGGAACCACCGTGAATTCTTAGGGCTCCTACAGTCCAGCTGCTTTTTTGTCATCAGGGATATGTGAGCCTATGTAAACATCTCAGGATCAGAATGTTTACTGGTGAGGAGAGCCCACTTGCTGTCTGGGAAGTTTGGCGGGTGGGCATCTTAAGGGAACAGTTGTTGGAAAGAGGCCCGGGGACCGTCGTGTTTGCTTAAGAAGGATGCCGCATATGCAGATGCTGTTTATATGACCGTTCCCCTTCGGCTGGGTTTGGGAGCAGTGGTCGCTGCGTGGGTTCTGGCCTCTGAGCAGTGCACAGCCTGCTTGGGGGGAGTGGCGTGGAGAGGGGACAGTCAGCCTTGGGGGCTGCAGAGGCCACAGCCGTATTGAATTCAGTCCTTCCTCCTCCTCTTGGTGTTGGCTGCCTGGGGCTCATTCTGATTGGAATCTTATTCTCATGTTGGTATAAAAATGTTGCATGACTTGAGAGGGTGAGGGGAGGCATACGGTGTGACTGGACTTCAGGCCCCTTGTCCCCAAAGGCCAGGCCTGGGCGCTGCCCCAGGAATCGCAGATCATCCGATGACGAAGGAGCCACTTCACCATCAGAGATCCTGTTTTGGATTTTAAGTCTCCAACAACCTCACATCTTAATGAGATTTTTCACGAAAAGTGTAAAAACCATTTATGTTGCTCCACTTGCAGACCTAGTGGAGTTTTAAAAATTTTCTTTTACTCTGGTTGTCACAGCATCTGCTGTCACCATCTACTGGACAGATGGCTGCTACCAGCTCGTGGGTTGTGTCACACAGTTGTGTATGTGGTTACATTTTCTGCTGTGTTTGTGACTGATTTATTAACAGTCAGGTGGTATTTACCCATTTTGCTGGACTGTTCGGAGTGGAGAGGTCCTAGCCATCAGATGGTGCGCATATCCTGTGTGTGTGTGTGTGTGTGTGTGAGATGGGGTGTAGGTTTCCACACAGATGCACGCCTGCAGGGGTTAGAGCCTGGGGCAGGGGTGAGCAGCCTTGCCAAATGCTGTCCCCTGGGCCGCAAAGAGGCAGTGAGGCTCGTGGAGCTGTGTAACGGATAATGGAGATTTATTTACATCACTACCAAATAATCCTTCATTCCCCAGACATCAGAGTACTTAAGAGTGTCTCATATGCCTTTACTTCTCTTACCGAGTTCTCACAGTAACCTTGTAGAAAGGGGGTCTTGATCCCATTCTGTAGATGAGGGCAGTTTGGACGCTGAGAACATTCTGCATCTGTCCGTGTACCCCTCTCCTCCCTCCTCTGTTTTGGTTTGGGAAACGCAATGTGTCCATTTAGAGGAGCATCCACATTGAATCTGGAGCCTTCAGTGCTGCTCTCTGGCTGGCCTAAGTGGGAAATGTGATCAGAGTCCTGTTGATGAGTGGATGGGCAGACCGTCTTCCTGAGCAGGGCTTGGGGCTGCTCTAGGCTGATTTTCCTTTCAGATGAGTCCTATCCAAATAAGGTGATTTTGACTTCTTTAACTCAAAAAGAGACTTTTCTGAATCGTTTTCTGTTGCTTTGCTCTTTTCTTGCTGCTGCAGAGAAATGACCAAAAATTTCTTCAACACCCAGTTTGGAAGCTTGTTCCGCACAGACCAGAACCCGACCTACTTCCTGAGGCGCCTGTCACGCTTTGCTGACATCTACATGGCGTCTCTGAGCTGCCTCTTGAACTACGATGTCAGCCACACGTTCTACCCGCGGAGGACTCCGCTGCAGCACGAACTTCCCGCCTGGTCGGACAGGGCCCCCACCTTCAGACTCCCCCTCCTGCAGGAGGCCCACGCCAAGTAACCAGGTGCCCACCTGCGGAAAAAGCCAGAAGCAGGGACAACCCTCAACTGGCTGGACGTGATGGGGTTGACTTGTGTGCAAATGAGTGTTGCTTTTGGAAAAGATACAAATACGCCTTTTGGTATTTATTACGGAGACTCCTTCCACGTTGTTGAGACAGAAGCAGGCAGCCCACCAGTTCCGCCTTTGCGTTTCTCGTTGGGCCGAGTGGCAAGCTTCCTATCGAAACCCTGCGATCAGCCTTTTTGTTTACCAGGGTACTGGAACGGGTGTCCGTGTTTCTGGGCTCGGTGAGCCTCCCTGATGCCATCTCTCAATTCCAGCCGCTGGAATGTCGCACGTGTTCTTGACTCTTCCGTGGACAGTGGGCTGACCGTTCACGGCCAGTGCTGTGGGGACCGCAGGGGCACAGTGCCGGGCAACAGGAAACGGCTCGCGGAAAGCTGACGGATGAGTCCGTGAGCTCCGTAAGAGCATCGCCGTAATAGCATCCGTAACAGCATCGTACGTAGCCTCCAGCGCCCACATCATGTGACACTAGGGCTGTGGCATCCCCGTGCGTCACTCGAAGGGAGACTCAGCATCCCTGCAGAGTCTTCTGTGAAGGAACAGAGAAGTTGCAAGTCCTTGACCCGTGGTTGTCGTCAGCGGCCGCTTCCGGGGCCTGCCCCATGCTGGGAGCACCTGTGGGGTCGCGGGTGATGGGCGCGTCCACTCCTTTTGCGGGGAGGGAGGGTGAGGAGACCAGAGCTCTGCTTTACTGCAGAACCCAGCTGCGAGAAACAAGCAGGTCGGAGGAACCAGCGCATTTGTGGTGGCCCCCTGGGAGTTTATGCCCCCTGAAAACGCCACCCACATGTTGGTTTGATGTGCCCATTGGAGGACAGAAGATGAAGCAGGCACAAAAAATGCCCTTGTAATGATATGCCCCTCCCGGACCCCTGCGGGGTTGTGTTGGAATCTTGTTAAAACATCTGCATGACCAGCAGGGGAGGAGGGGATGGCCCCGTCACTCACTGCTTAGCTTCCCAGCCCTGTCCTCCCCGTAGATCTCCTCCCTGCCATGTTGGTGTGGCTATTTTGGGAGCCTGGGTGGTTTTCCTGAGGTGTGTGTTTAAGGTGGGAGAGGATAAAGGGCAATGGAAGCTAGGAGGAGACTTAGGAATGGCCTGGCTCATCAAGCGTCTCATTCCTTTCTAAGGACAACTCGAGTGGCACGCATGCTTGTCCCCAGCGGATGTGGGTGGCAGGCCCCTGAAAGGGCACTTGTGGAGCGTGCTCACTTATTTAGCACTTTATTGCGGTTAATGTATCGGAACCAGCTTCTGATGAAATTTTAGCGTGGCATTTCATAGAGTACAGTACACGAATGACGTGAGTTACACGGCTTCTTCTGTGATGCCATTCGTAATGCCCTTTAGACCCAGGAGGCCCGATCGGCCCCTTTTTTTACTTCTAAATTTTGCTACAAACACTGTAGCCCATTCCTTTTTGGGAACAGGGTAGGCATTTTGTTTGCTGTGTGTTAGCTCCTATATGGTTTAAGCATCAGAGGGTATTGCAGATGGGCATTTAATGGGTGCAGGTGGATGCCCAGGGTGCTTGGTGTTGGGGTCCTCAGCAGACAGGCCGTGCTCATGGCTTTAGAGTTTCTGCCTGGAAAAGCTGAGTGAGGAAGTAAAAAAGTTTGTTTTTTCTCTCAGTTTTAATCTAATCAGGCAGTCATTGATATCTCCTCGGTGCCAGTTACAAGGTGTCTTGTTTACTCAAGAATAAAGTAGCGCTGTTTTTATACAACTGCTTTGATGGAGAGCTAGGTTAGGTGACCCGAGCCTTGGGGGAGAAATAGATTTTTCTTGGAATGAATAGGGAATTTTACAACATATTACCAATTAAGATTTCAGTCTCTGGGCCACTGAACATGGTAGTATTGAGACGTGCCACGTACCATCTGTCTGAGCCGGGCCCACAAAGCAGGCACCTGGTGGGCAGAACCCACACCAGGGCCAGCCACACGGGTCGGGGCGACCGTGTCCACGTGCAGGACAGACAGAGGCATGCTTCCTGTGTGTGCTCAGTCAAGATAGATTGTAACTGTCGTGACTCAGTTGGGGTTTGGCACACGGCACCGGGCATTTTGTTCTTTCCAGTTCTTTGTCGTGCACACTGAGAGAAGCACAGTGGTACAAGGGAACGGGGTCTGTTTTCTACCATTTAGAAACTCGGTTTGGAAAGTGAACAGAAGAAAATGGATCTGCACGTTGCAAAATATCTCCTGTTTTTCGCATCGGTTAGGCTGGTGGTGCAGGGACGGTCCGGCCGGCCGCAGCGGCTCAGCGAGGCTCATGGTACCTGGAGCAGACTGCCGCGGAAGGGCCCCGCACAACTGGTTTTGCAGTTGCTTTTATAGACGAAACTCGGCTTTTAAAGTATTTTAGGAGTTTGGCTGAGAGCTCCCTCTTTCCTCCTGACATAGCCTCTTTTTTTTTTTTTTGAAATTTTAAAAATTCTCTTCAGCTCCATTTTCTGCCATCACCAGTAATGCTATGTAACATACACCACCTGTTACTGATTTGGGCATATCTCAGACTAAATTACTAGTTGTTTTGAATGCACTGGCCCTCTTAATTATTGCAAAGGAGAAAGGAGAAGTAATCTTTCCTCCTCACTAATTTAGCTTTGGGGGAACTAAATGGCTTTTCCTCTCTCTTCCTCCCAAAGGCCCTTTAAGCCTTAGAATGTGCTAAATATTGGACTTGATTCCCTGTGCCGCAGGCTCATTTGCTGCCAAAGACCCACCCCGGGGGCCCTTGTCCAGAAGGCTTTGAGACTACATTTGGCCAGAGGCAGGGTTCCTTGATTGCTCTATTCAGCTACTAGGGAGCCTGTATTTTGCCCTCTTAAGACTAATTTCCTTTTATAGCAATTCTCTCTCTCTCTTTTTTTTTGCATTAGCATTTGGGAGCCTGGCCTCAAATTCAGGCCAGCCTCAAATTCAGCTAACCTTTAACACCCTCGTGGGTTAAGGCGAGGCAAGGGAGAGAAGTTTCTCTCTTGCAGGGTTCCGCCGGCGTTGCCTGTAAAAGGGCCAGCGAGGAAGCACTTGCAGCTTTGCAGGCCATTTTCTGTCGCCAGGGCTCTGGGAACGGGCACGCTGTGTTCCATCACAGCCTGATTTACAAAAACAGCTGCAGGCTAGATTTGGCTCTCCGGCCGTAGTTTGCCCACCCCTGCGCTAGTGGCTTGTGTTGGAGGCTGCGGCACCAGGACCTCGCTGAAAGCACGCAGATGACCACCTCAGAGCTGGGTGCGGCTGGGAGAGAGTTCTGTAGGTGAGCGCGCCACACTCCCCTGCTCTCCGGGCATCCGTGCGTCTGTGGCTGGTGTTTCTGGCACATGGCGTAACCATTGTGTGTAACTGAACGGCCAGGCTCAGGCACCGGTTGGCCATCCCTCGCTGCACTGACTGGTGATTGTGCTCGTAGAAGGGGATGGGCTTGGCTGCCCAGAACACCCTTCAGAACCGAAGGCCTTTTCCCCCCAGCTGCTGGGTCAGCTGCTGGCTCCCCATCCTCAGCTGGTGGCCCTGTTCGAGAGCTTCCCCCACTGAAAGCCCTGCCTCAGACGAGGTCACGCCCCCTTCCTTGGAGCCTCCAACTCCAGCCCTGCTTCCTGCCCTTCTCGTTCCTTCTCCGTTCGCAGGTGTTGTTCCCAAGAACACTTGCCCGAACTCGTCCCGCATGGACACCTCACTCAGTGTCTGCTTCCCGGGGCAGCCAACCCGCTACAGCGCTTCTGTACTATTTTTTTAGCGCCACAGGCTTGAACCCTGAGGAAACCGTGTTCCAAGTATTTAATAGAATGATAGAGTGTGCCTGTAGAGTGGTCTCAGGTGCCATACGTGCGAACTAAGTAGACTTGCTATTTATTCTGGATGTGAATTTGCTATTTATTCTACATGTTGATTTTATGTGATAGGATTGAACTTCTTGCCAAATAAAAGTTTGAATTGTGTCATCTAGCTCATTGTAAGTCGTCTGTTTTTGTGTGCCTTAGCGGCAAAACCATATCAAATTATCAGATTCTACTGTACCCAGAAAAGAACACCCCGGTGAGACGGGGAGGAAGATGTGTGGTTCATTTCTCACCCCTTTTGTCCCAGCACCCCAGTGAGCAAGGCACACTGGCTCGTTTGCAGAGCCGGAAGACTGTGTAGTGAAGGCACAGACGGAAAATGGGCACGAGCTCAGACCAGGTAGGCAGCAGATGCCCCCCTGGAACTGCTGTGCCCCCACGGGTGTTCCTTCTTTGACAGCCAGGAGAGGATGTGGTCATCCACATGTTTGCAATCAAATTGCCAGGAAAGCTAAAAATTGGAAGCTGTGTTTTACGGGAAGAAACTCCTGAATAATACTAAATGAAGAGAAAACGCAGTGAAGCCAAATCACTGCTGGGTTTTGGATAAATTTATAAATATTTTGAAAAGCTTATTTTTTAAAAACCGTGTATGTGTGTGCATGCGCATGCACATGTATTTAGCCTCCTTAATGTCCTTGACGTCTCCATGTGCCAGGACCTTTGTCTCATTCACTTCTTCCATGGATGGCCTGCTGGTCTTCCTTTCAATCGCTTGCCTTTTTGTCCCAGTGATGTTGGTACTGGAGGACTCACTGGGGAATTTGTCTCTCATTCCTTTTGGGGAGCGATCTCCCAGAAACATGGCCTTGCTTTCATCATGGCATGTTGTCCCAGAGGAGACGGTAAGCTGTTCCTGTGCCCGAACCTGGGACTTCTTTCCTTTCCTGGAGTTGGGAAAAAACTTACAAGACACTGGAGCCTCCAGAATGTCTCACCTGGCTCAGCAAAAACCCTGAGGACGTGGAACAGTTATTGGGCCAAAAGGAGAGTCAGAGGTCTGCTCAACCCAACCTTTCACTTCTCTGTCCCAGCAGTGATTCCCAAAGCTGGCCAATCCTGCCCCCTAGGGACCATTTGGAAGTGTGTGGCGGGTGGGTTGGAGGGTGTCGGTTGTCATGGTGATGGAAGGGCACTTCTGGCCTTCTGAGGGCAGGGGCCTGGTCGTGTAGACATCCTGCACTGCTTGGGCGAGTCGTGCACAGTAAAAAACTGTCCTGAGTCCATGCATCACCACTGGAAAATTCTAGAACATTTTCCTCACTCCCTGTCCCTGGCAATCACTAATCTATTTTCTATGAATTTGCCTCTTCTGGAAATTTCATACAGGTGGAGTCATACAGTATGTGGCCTTTTGCGTTCTGCCTTCTTAGCACATGGCATTTTCAGGTTCTCTCTGTGTTGTTGGCATGCATCATCAGTACTTCGTTCCCTTGTAGGGCAGAATGTGATTTCACTGGAGGGATATACCACCGTTTGGCTATCCATTCAGAAGATGACGGACATTTGGGTTGTTTCTACTTTCTGGTTATTATGAATAATGTTGCCATGAGAACACATATGTAAGTTATCACATGGACATGTTTTCCATTTCTCCTGGGTATATACCCAGGAGAGGGATTTCTGGATCACATGGTAACACTGTGTTTAAGTTTTTGAGGAACTGTCAAACCTTTTCCATGTGGCTGCACCATTTTACTTTCCCCCCAGCAATGTGTGAGGAGTCTGATTTCTCCACATCCTTGCCAACACTTGTTATTATCTGTCGTTGTGATTCTAGCCGCCCCAGTGAGCATGAAGTGGGATCTCACTGTGGTTATCATGTCTTCTTAAACACAAACAAGCAAACGAAACAGAATTGAGAAAGAAGACTTTATAAGGCAGGTGTTGGCTAAATGAAAAGGCCCTAATTAGCCCCAGTAAGTGGATTTTACCTTCAAACTTTGACCCTTCCTGTGGCAAACAGTATTTTTGTTTCCCCAAACACCAGATTTGTTCCGTTGACTTTAATTCTCTTCCATAAACATTTATTGAGCACATTGCATGTACCAGACCCCGAGATACAAAGATGAATGAGGCAGGTCCCTGCCTTTGGATGCTTACAATCTAACAGGGAAAGGAGATAAGGTTATAGTGTTGGGGAGAACGTACTTAAGTGCCGTCTAAAGGTACAAAGGAAGGACAGTGGAGGGATAGTCCCCCGGGGTTGGTGGGTAGGTTTAACACGGCCCCTCACCCACAGAAACAAAGTAATCCCCCAGATTAACCAAAGAGATGAGGTATGGCTTGAGTGCTTCATACTTTAAAGTGTGAAAGGACCTTACTTTCCAAAAGGCAACTGGTGCTGAGGATTCACAGTTGACAGCCTTTTTGAGGAGGCTTGGGTAGGTGGGCAGATGGCCGAGGGGGGTGGCTGGCCGCAGCAGGTCTGGGCCCTCACAGCGCCCCCAGGGGGTCACTGTTGTCCAGCTGCTGGTCTTCGGCGTCCTGGAAAAGAGAGGTCTCTGAAACACTGGGCGCAGGCCCTTCTGCTTGTCGGATCTTTCTAGCCTGAGCATTCTTTCTGGCCCCTGGTCTGAGGCCTTGAAGGGGTTCAGAACACGCTATCCCCAAATATGGTACCTTGGCAGTTTAAATATCTTAAACTGAAGGAATTTTTGAAAAAACAGCAGAAGTAGGATGGTTACTCTGACCTTCCCCACCTCCCTCGCCCCTTTTCCTCTGAACAGGTCATAAAACCCTCCCTGCACCAGGAGGAAAGAAGACGCTGATCACCTAGAGACAGGAATTTGGGGCCAGGAAATCCATACAAACAACCTGGTTAAACTCTTTAGCTTCCTACTCCCCCAAGCCCAAGCCCAAGCCTTTGTCTTGTCAGTCCTTCACAAATGTGTCGTTTCTTTGTATAAAAGATAGAAAAGGTTCCTGCTCTGCTTACTTCAGGTCTTCATTCTCTCATGAAGGCTCCCAGGTACATGTAGACTGTCCATAAAGTTTATATGCTTTTTCCCTGTATCTGTTAGATTACTTTTCAGATCCAGCCAGGGACCCTAAGAGGGTGGAGGAAAACTTCTTCCTTCCCCATAGCCTAAAACAATTCTTCTTCAAGTGCCCTGTGAACACGTGTGTGTGGTAGGAGGGCAGGACGATATGATGGTTCTGGGGTGGTCACTGCTGCTTGAAGCTTATGGGCTCCGAACAGATCATTTCCATTCTTGCTGTTTTTCCTCATCAGTAAAGGGCCATAATAATATTTTCCTCACAGGGAAGTATGAGGATTAAATTAATACTGCATTAAGGAAGGTACACACGCCCTACAAAAGGTGGCTATTAATATGATTACCAAAAACTGCTTTCAGATTAAACATTCTTTGTCAACCCAGGTCGGCTCTTGAGCATTTGAGGGAGTCCAATCGGAAACCATACTCTGGAGGCAGCGCCCACGCCCTGTGCTGTCTGCAGCTCTGACTGGCACCGAAGTGTAGTTAATTTGCATAAGGGATGTGTTCCGGATGTCTGGATTGGCCACAAATATTGTATGGGCACCCCACCTTCAACATAAAAGATAGGAGAATGGAGGATGTCCCTTATAGGGATGGCACCCTCGGCTTAGGACTTCTGTTCCTGGAACATTTTTGCCACCTGGTCTGATTAGAAAGGTTCATCGGACTCCTGCATTTGGGACACACTCTCTCCTGCCTCCAGAGAATCTTTCCTGCATGGTGCGGACGGAGCCCCCAGAAGAGGACAGGCAGCTGAGAAGGCGTGAAGAGCACAGAATGAGATGGATACCCCCTCCCCCCAGCCCCACCAGCTTTTTAAATGAGGTTGATTTCAACATAACAGTGCTTGCAGAAATAAACTACTAGTTAATAAGCGCACGGCTGAACTTACCCTTTCAATTTGGATGGGGAAACTTTTACATGGGTTTAATTAGAAAAACAAAATAGGATATGATCTGGTTATTTTTAAATCTATTGCAAAGATATTAGTTCTGCTACCATGGGCACTGAGAACACAAGACATTTATGTTTGGTTCACTGCAGAAGAACAAAAACGTCTGTTGCACTGTATGAGCTGAAAAATGGCTCAATAAAATGTTTCGGTAATGTTTCAGTGCCAACTTGCAAGAACGCGACAGCCATAATAAAGTCTTGAGGGGAGGGACAGCATATGTACATGCATAAAACAATCACAGTGGCTCTCTGGCTTTGGTTACTTTTTTTTTTTTTTTTTTAAGATTTTCATTTAAGAGAGAAAGAGTGTGTGAGAGGGAGAGAAAGAGCGGGGTGCGGGGCAGAGGGAGAAGCGATGCGGGGCTCGATCCCAGGACTCCAGGATCATGACTCAAGCCGAAGGCAGATGACGCTTAACCGACTGAGCCACCCCATTACTTCTTTGCAAGGGTTCTAGACCAACAGCCCAGATTCAGGTGATTTCCTTGAATCTGAGTAATGCTATCAGCTCAGTCTGCTGAGGTACATACTAGCTGTCAATTTTTCTTATCTTCATATAAAAGGAAGAATTAAATTTTATTCTTAGCTTCTCAGTCCAGACCTGGTAATAGGCTACGGGCAGGGTGTACCTTCCACCTTCGGTGTGAAGCGGGGGTACCCTGCTGTGGGCTTCCCCTGGGTTGAAGTCAGTGGAGCTCCATCCAAGCTCAGGGATCACTAACTAGAAACAAATGGTTATTTCCTGGAATACCAGAGCAGAACATGTCCCTCTAGATATAAAAGACCTGATCAGAGTGAGACGGGGAAACCGAAGGACTCCGTAAAAATCTACTTTTGCTCCTTTTCCTGCTTCTACTCTCGCTAGGACCTGCATCCCCACCACACCTTACACATACCTCGTAATGCAAATAGTGTATGTCTTCCTTGGAAGGGACAAGGAGTTCATGATTTCTCTAGAACAGATAACATCTAAGGAAGGACCAGGTGAGAATGAATGGACTAAGTTATCATATGTGCTCTCCAGGCCACCAGCAGCTGGACATCTCCAGGCCAAGGCCCCCTGGCTCTAAGGACTAACACCTGGGCCCTGGTCTTTATTCTGACCAGTTCTGGGATGCCTGAGGGGACATATACACCAGACCACTGTCCTCAATAAAAGCTCCAGACCCAGAACAAAGACAAGACTCATGTTCCTTTCTTCTTTCTGAGTGTCCCAGGCGCTCCATGTGTATCTGCCCTCTCTGTATCTTCAATAAACCCTGCTCTCACTTCCCGCTGGCTTGTGTTTGATTTCCATCTTGCTTGAAGCCACCGACCCTCTTGGCTGGTCCTATGGGACCCCCTCTGGGTCCTTGGACCCGGCCTGCTGCCATCAAAAGGAACAAAGTTCCAAAGGCAAGAAGCAGCTCTGACAATGGGCAGAAAAATTTTGGCAACCATGTAAAGAAAAGTTTATTAAAAAAAAATTTTTTTTTAAGTAGGCTCCATGCTCAACGTGGGCCTTGAACTCACGGCCCTGGGATCAAGAAGTGCACGCTCTACCAACTGAGCCAGCCAGGGACCCCAACAATGTAAATATAAGTTTAAAGCATAACATAAGGAAAAAAAACACTTTTTAAGGTCTGAGTCTTACTTTGCACTGGCTACCTCATAATGTTTGCAGCAGAATGCAGCCCAAGATTTCTTTGTGTGACAAACCACTTCTCACCTGGTCACGAGGTGGGGGGTGAGCAGTCTCTGCTCCCCTATTACCTCTGATTGTTGGAGACGTCACCCCGAAGAACCCAGGGACACTGAACAGCCACATGGCTTCAGTCAGCTTTCGATACTGGCTTTTAGGCTTGTTGCCCCGAGACACATTCTGGAAATATGCTTTCCTTGGTGCAAAGCTTTCCAGTTGGATTTGCTGGAAACCTCATTCTCCCTCACCCCAACTGCATCCGTGCCTAGGTAAAGAGGCAGACTCACCACGAAGCGGTCGCAGCAAGGCTCTGGGGCAGCGGATGGGGTGCTCTCATACAAGGGGTTTGGTATATTCTCAGGCTGCTGCTTGCCAAGAGCCGCGACGTTGATATCCTCCTCCGACTGCTCGGGAAGACACGCACAGGCTGACGGTGTCCCCAGGGCAGGAGAGGCTCATCCCAGCTGGCGGGTAAAGCAAGCCCCGCCCCCCTCCTCCTCTGGGGGCCTTTTCTTCTGATTTACATTAACCACGTGCACCCCTCTTAAGTGCTGGGCTCAGTGACTTCCTATGTCCGTCCAAGTGTGACGGCCACCCAAACCCGCACACAGGGTGTTTCCATCCCCTCCCCCTTCCCCAGGAAGCATCCTCACGCCCATGCCCGCAGGACCCCATCCCACCCAGGGTAACTGCCCTTCTGACTCCTATCACCCTGGAGTGGCTTTGCCTGTCCTTGAACTTAGTAAGAAAGGACTCCCACAGCGCGCACACTGTGGTAGAGATGCTGGAGCTTATGAATATGCATCTGCTCTGCGAGGAGGGAATGGTCTGGGGGAGGCAGCTGAAAAAGAGGCTGGGCTGCGCAGGGGCGGACAGCACAGAGGGGAGGGTGCTCAGCTGCTGTGCTGTGGCCACACCCGGCCCCCAGGGGGCCCCCCTGCTCAGCCGAGACCCGCTGACCTCCACGCGGCCACACCCGGCCCCCGGGGGGGCCCCCCTGCTCAGCCGAGACCCGCTGACCTCCCTGCGGGCTCACCAGTTTGAGGCTGGCTGCAGAGGGAGGCCTGACCGTGCGGGTCCCCGACCCTGTCCTCCACCCCCGCCAATCAGAGTGGGTCCCTGTCTCGGAATCCTCCAAGGTGAGGGGGCTTCTGGGCCCCTGGTGAACATGCCTCCCAGCCAAGCCCCCAGCTCCCCGGGGCTGAGCTCTGTGAAGCGGCCAGTCGGGCTGGGCTCCAGTCTCCCCTGTCACCATGTTCCCGTGTCTCTCTTACCTCAAAACGCTGGAAGCCAACTGTTCTTCGGTTTAGCCGAAAGTAAGAATATGCAGCCAAAGTGGCAGCTCCAAAGACCAGGACGGTGGCAAAGAATATCCCTGTTCCCATGCCGGTGTGCACTGAAGCCTGCCCGCAGAAAGGGGAGGGGTGATACTTAAACCTGGTGCCTTGCCCAGAGAGGAGAGCTTTCTGGAGCCCACTGCACTCTTGCTGGCCCGAGGCATCTGGGGCCGGTTGGGATAAAAATAAGGAGAAGATAGCTAACATGTATTTAGCCCTTTCTACTGCCAGGGTCTGTCTAAGCCCCTTCCATGACATAATCCAGTTAAACCTCTAAGAGCCCCAAGAGATAGGGACAAGTATTACTGTTGCCATTTTTATATGGGGCGACCGAGGCCCAGAGAGGGTAAGTGCTTTGCCCAGTATCACAGAGCCAGTGAGGAGTAGAGGTAGGTGGGCTCGGAAGCCAGCCTGGCTACGGAGCTGGTGCACTTAACCACTATGCTATGGAGCTTCCCAGAAAACAGCTGGGCTCACCGCCCCCCGCCCCGCCTTTTAGAAAGCAGGATACTAACACCACCAACCCACCCACCCTCATATAGCCCATACTGTGTGCCAAGGACTGTCCTAATTATTTTATATTTATCGACTCATAATCTTCCCAAGAACCCAGGGGGTCAGCATTATGACCCCCCCCCCCATTTTGCAGATGAGAAAAATGGGGTCAGAGACTTGTCCAAGGTTGCACAGCTAATAAAGTGGAGCGGACACACCAGAGCTCAGGATTTCCTACTCCCCTTCCAGTGGCTTCTCTGATGGCCCATTCACTCAACAAATATCAACAGTGAGAGGTGTTGTGTTGCTAATGCACCAGAGCAGGGGTGGGATGAACCAGGGCCTCAAGCTCTGAGGCCACCTGTGGGAGGCTCCTCCCATCTCCAGAGGAGAGGAGACAGAGCTTCTAGCTACAGTTTGCCTCTTGGGGAGTGGACATTGGACTCCCCCCCTCCCCCGCCCAGGAGCCCTGGATACTCACCAGTGGGACAGGGGGTGCTTTTAAAGGCCTGGAAATAACATGAATGATTCCATTGGAGGCAAAGATGTCCCACTGCAGAATGGCTCTTCCATCAACAAACCTGGTCTCCTGGGGAAATGAGAGGGGGGCTGGTGGAGATCTGTGGCCATCTGCCTCTTTGCCCCATGTGGGCAACCCCTCTATGAAAGGAAGTTGCTCAGTTTCTCCCAGGTCCTGCAGCCCGGGTGTCAGGCCTATTGTTACCGATGGGCAGCACAAGACACATTAGTTGCCCTTGGGCTACAAGGCAGGTTGAAGAACTGCAGGGAAACAAGGGGCCATTCTGTCCCACCAACTTGTCTACCAGATGAGAGTTCAGAGAGAAAATGATTTGTCCAAGATCACGTAGGTAGCAGATGGCCAACCCTAAGCCTCTGGACTTCGGGTCCACTGCTCTGAACATCACACCGAGCTGTTAGAAAATGGATTTTTAAGTGATCTTATCCCCTGCTAATCAAAGCATGATCTACTGTCTTGTGGTTGGGCATCACCTGAGAGTTCATTAGAAATGCGGAACCTGAGGTCCCCACACTCCACCTGCCGAATTATTTATGATCTGCATTTCAGCAAATCTCTAGCTGATTCAAATGCATGTTAAAATTTGAGAAACATTGGTCTAAACCACTAATTTTCAATAAAAGAAATCATTGATCAGGTAAATATTAAAAAATAATACTCACTTGGCACTTGCTACCGAGCACGCACTGTTCTCGCATGCCACAAGCATGGAGTCACTGAACCCTCACAAGTGCCTATGATTCTGAAACCGTGGCTGTCATCATCACTGCCACCACCAACACCGTCATCACCATCACTAACACGACTCTCACGATCGTGTCACCATGCCTGTCCTCACCAACAGCATCACCAACACCACCACCGTGAAACAGAGGCGGAGAGTCAGAAAGCTTTAAAAATGGTTTCACGTAGGGGCGCCTGGGTGGCTCAGTC